CCTAACCGAGGAGAACAAGGCAGAACCAGGCAGCAAGTCGTCAGGCGCTGACGAGGTCCACACCTGGGGAGCGGAGCGCATGTCGCTGCAGCCGACATCACCCATCCGGCCTGACAGAAGGTGCGACATCTTTGTCTTCCTCGCTGTGGCTCCTCTGATTCCGAGCAGATACCGCTGCAACTGCGTCTTATTGGCCCTGATGCCCTGCATTGGCAGCTGCCATGTCGCGTCGGAACTACCGGCCAGCAAGACGGGACGAGCGGTCTACGGAGGACACATGAGGGCAACATGACATCGGGATACACGGCGGGAAGCTTGGAACCTAAGAAAGGTGACTAAAAGAAGTTCAGTCGATTTTAATCGCGCCTGGGGTTGCGAGCGCCCCCCAAATTACAAACCCAGTAGCGACCTACTTCACCATCTCTGGATGAGCATAGAGAAAACAATTGGAGACTGGACACAATGCTGGCCAGCCATCCACCGAGGCAACGATGCGTTGGCGCCGAGTGTGATGGAGACAGCGCTGAACTTCTCGTACTGGCTGTCGTGCGTTGCAGTCGCGACACGGCGAGCACGCCAGGTCGCCAGCCGCAGCCCCTGGTGCTTTGGACGTCAGCGGCTCCTAGCGAGTAGCGACCTGGTGCACGGCCAGCTCGACTCCGGATCCCCGGTCTCCATCCAGCGCACCGTCTGTTGCCTGTTGAGCCGTCGCGTCTTGCGCGTGCACCCTGCAGAGAGAGTCGACGTTGACGCGGTGCGGGCCAGCGATTGCCTCAGCAATGTTAATAATGCCGCCCGTTTGTAACCGTCACGTACGGAACCGAAACCCCGATACCGGCCCTCTGCCCGGCTGCCCGTTTGCTGCGCCGCCCGGCATGCAACGCCAGCAGCCTGCGCCCCCTCTCGACGGCCCCTCCTGTTGCCTGCCCCATTCGTGCTGTCGCCCTCTCTTCTTCCGATCCGAGCGTGCCTGCTCGACCCTCCTCCCCCTCCACACCCTCGCCTTTTCCTCCCTCTGCACTTGACCCCTCCAAAAATCCCTCACTCGTCGAGCCACTCTCTCCCCTCCCTCCCTTTCTGGTGTCGACACCGGCTCTGACCGGACCGCGTCTTCCTCAGAGGTGCCATCGTCGGTCGACCCGGGATCTCGCTGTGAACGCGAAAACACAGCCCTCTTGATTTCCCCCCCCCCAAATCCAAGAGTATACTCGCCCCTGCTCTCTCGATTCAACTTCCCCCCTACCCAGCCAAGCGAACCATGTCGACCGAGGCTCGTTCCGGGTGGCGCGAGGCGGCCGCGGCGGAGGCGGTGATGCGTCGCACCGAGCAGGCGGCCGTGGCGCACAACAGCAGAAGGGTGGCGGTGCTGCGGGTGGCGGTGCCCAGCACCAGCAGCAGCAGCAGCAGCAGCAGGAGAAGCCCAAAAAAGGAAAACATCCTCGACCTGACCAAGTACATGGACAAGGAGGTCAATGTCAAGTTCAATGGAGGTAGAGAAGGTGGGTCGACTTCCATCGTTATCTCCTTGTGACAGCATCAATCAGTCCACCACACTGTCCACACTGTCCACACACCATGTTGTAGTTCGTTCTCTGGCCATCTGTGTTTCTAATCTGATACCTTATATTCCACTGAACTAATCGTATCTTGCTTTCCGTCTACAGTCAAGGGCGTCCTCAAAGGCTACGACCAGCTAATGAATCTTGTCCTGGACGACGTCAAGGAATTCATGCGGGGTAAGGCCTGGTAATCTCCTCATCAATTTATTTCCTAACTAACCGCAATGCTGCAGACGACGCCGGCAACGAAACCACCCGCTCCCTCGGCCTGGTTGTTGCCCGTGGCACGCTCATCGTGCTCATCTCCCCCGTTGACGGCAGCGAAGAGATTGCCAATCCTTTCGTCCAGCAGGAAGAGTAAAGAAAAGCACTGCACTTCTGCCACCTCTTCCATTCCCTAACCAAACAAATTATATTTATCAAAGTCAAGGTGTATGTGTGAGGGCAAGACCCTTCCTGCTTGTCCTGAGAGAGATGCAGATGCACGTCTCTCACTACCTCATAATATAAGCTGGGGAACCATCCGGGGTTTGATTGGTGGTATGTTGATTGATTGATCATCCATCCAGACGAAAGAAGATTTCCACGACCCGGGCCAATAGTAATACCTCTCTACCGACATTGACCAACTTGGCCCTTGACGAGAAGAAAGGAGGAAAAAAAAAAGTTTCAAAAAGTTATAATGAAACAGAAAAAAAATAATGAAAATAATGAATTAGATAGATACCCAAAGTTCTTTTCATTGAGGGATAAGAGAAAAAAAAACGATAAATTATAATTTTCAAGTCTGTCCCTTTCGGCCAGTCTATGCCACGTGATGATCGATACAAAAACGAAATCAAAATGAAACTAACAAATTGGACATTTATAACTAGCTAGGTGACTATAAAACTTGAACTGTCGTAGGTACAAGATATACTGTCGCATCTGTCTCTTCATCCCAGAACAACACAAATTCGACACCGTGGGAGCCTTCCCCCACACCTCGTGGATGCATTGCACCCTTCTCCCTGTTTCCTCGATTCCACCCCTGTGGTCTCACACAGCATCCATACTGGATAATTCTTCAAACACTCAATGTCAAGCCAACTTGCTTTTTCCAAAGATGCACCAGTTTCTTGCCATCTCCCCACGTATATTGTTCAATCACCCCGCACATATTGTCAAAAAGAAGGGCTCCTCTTTTTACACCCTTTATATCAGGTCGCGCCAAAAACAGCTTATTTTTCGCCTTTTTTTTTAATGCATTCGTCGCGTAGGCTTCATCAGAGCCTGGAACGAAGACTCGAGAGCTTTCTTGAGCTCTTTGTAACTGACGATAAAGCAACTCTGCTCATCCCGGCTAATCAAGGTAATCTTCTCCTCGGTCCCGGCATCCAGCTTGTTCAGGCAGGTCAAGACGTGTCCCAGGTCCACCACCGGGTTGTTCTGCGCATCCACCTGGTGGAAGACGTAGTCCCGGAAGAGCTTGAGGAAGTACCGCTCTCCGTTCTCGGACCATTGCCGGTCATGTTCATATTCTGGTCGCTCATTGATAAAATTCAGCTTCGTCAGCAACCGCACCAGACGGCCGTTCTCGAGCTCACGGCTGAGATCGGAAGTGAGCTGGTCGTCCATATGAAGGGCCGAATCGAAGGTGGAAATGAGCTGCGAGGAGATGCCGCTAATGAAGACATCAATGTTGCGCTCTTGGTCCTTCTGCATTGCATTGAGAAGCCAGAAGACCGAGTTTTTGAGCTGTGGGCTGTAAGTGCGAGAGAAATGTTCCATGGCCTTGTTGGGGTTGTTCATCAAGTTGGGCGAGTTGGCACCCAGGGTGAGGATCAGCTGCCCAAAATTGACCAGGTCCTGTTGCTGGAGATCGGATATGGATCGTTGTGTATCATGCTGCACCACGTCCATGATTGCACAGGCATTCAGGCGAATCCGATTTTTGCCGGTCAGGATGATCTTACTCGGGTCGATAATTCTGGCGGCCAGACCATTGCTGTGGATCGTCTTTAAGGCAGATGCAATTTGGGTCATATAGCTCCAGAGCACCTGCTCGGGAACATGAGCATTATTATTATGACGGTTTTGGTATCGATTCCCGGCACCAAGGTGCTGCTCTGCGAGCGTCTTCGATAAGGGATGATAGTCCATAACAAATATCAAGGAGCTGTCTTGGAAGACCCGAGTCGTGAACGCGTCATGCACCGTCACCATGCTGCCATTACAGATCCGCTTCCAAGCTTGGACAGAACGGATGGCTTTCTCGTTGGTTAGACGATACCCTGCGAAGCCGGTCAGACGTGTTCTGCAGTGACCCTGAGAGAAAGGAGAGTGATACCTTCCAGCCTGCGAAGGACATAGTAATTTCCATCTTTGCTAGACTGCGCTTTGTAGACCCAGCTTGGGTATCCAAAAATGGTGGCGTTCTTTTGATGAGTCAGATCCAACGGAACAAGGGAATGAAAGTGGTCCACATGGGTCGGTAATGTAGAGTCTCAAACCACGGTCAGCTCAAGGCGTCTGGCGGAGAGCGAAAAATCAATGGCGTTAACATACTTGGTAACGTCTGCAAGGTGGCGGCTGCTTTCTTTTGCAGCTCTTCTCTGAAATCGTTGGGCAAGAAGAGATCGTGAACGTGGCGCTGATAACCCATAAGATTTTGGCTATGCGGGCCAATAGGGGCATAGAGATGATATTGAGCCTACACAGGCTGTCAGACAATAGGTCTCTTTTCTGATTAAGATAGGGGTATCCTTACAGGCTGCTGGTAACCTGCCTGGCCAGGAAAGAAGGTCGCTCCGCCCAAAGTAGCGGCGGCAGCAGCGGCGGCAGCAGGATCATGCGAATACGGGTTTGCTTGGACGGGGGTCACACCAGCAGCGCCACCAGCCAAAGGAGTTGGGGTTGCCACGAAAGGATCATAGGAGGCTGCTGGATTGATGACGCCATTACCGTTGCCCTGCAAAGAGACCTGGGATACCATCAAATCAGCATCGGAACGAGTCGCACGACGAGCAGACATAGAAAGAGTAGGTCTTGGGACGGGTGATATTCTCGGCGTCTGGAGGGGAACATCGAGAGTAGGAGAGGGGGAACCAGGGGAGAAAGCAAAGGGAAGAGATGTAGATCGAACGATACGCGGTTCGAAAGGATTGGCAAGTGCGTTGAGGCTGCCAGGAGAGTCCCCAGATGAAGCCATAATGGGCTTGTTTCCAGATTGCACAGTCAAACGAGCACATGCAATCTGTCTGCTGGGGACTGAAGAGATGCCGGAGACCAGTATGATGAGGCATCACAGAAAATGAGAGCATCCAGACTCGGGTGCAAAATTGTCTGTGGAGAAACAAGGCAAGAACGAGGGTATCGTGGGCAGTGACACGGGTTGGCGGTGCATTGAGGAAGGTGCTGCCCTTACCACTTGCGAAGCATCATAGCCCTGGGGCACGAAATCCTGCACCTCAGCAACAGACCAGTCCTGTGTTGTTGTTTCCGGCCGCGAGGAAGGAGTGCTCGTGTTGGAACCTGGTCACGGTCGTCAGCGCGGACATTGTTGCTCGCACACCAGGCATGACGGCATACGAGAGTTCAGACTTTTAGGTTGAAATGGCGCGGCGCTGGCCGCCTTGGGAGATATCGATGATGTCGGCTTCTTGGGCGCAGAGGAGCCGTTGGCCGCGAGGTGCGATGGGGTGAAGCTGGGGGAGTCGACATTCAACCGCTTCTTACTGCTGTCGATCACCATCGATATCAGCCACTGCACCGATTTTGCACGCCCTGGCTGGCTTTCGGATCCAGCAAAGGGGTATCTATCGCGGGAAGTGTCCAAACCTGTCGTTTTGATGCGCAGCGCTGAATTTCTGGGGGTCATGATTGAAGGCGCAGCCTGGTTTGAACGATCATCTTAGCCAGACGATTCCCAGCACCGAAACAACCCTCAGACAAGAAATCCTCGCCGTACCTTTATCTTCATATCGGCATTTACCATAGATGGTCACGTTGCGACACAAGGTATCTTTCGCATTTTCTGCCCGTTTCCCCGTGGTCAGCCATCTCCATGCCTCGAGTACAGTGCCCTAATACGCCATAGACACCAGACCATGCCGCCAGAGGACCGGAGATGCCGAGAACGATGGAAACCCACCTCGTCCCTTGAGTTTGGGCGAGCCGGTGCTGCGACGAGAATCGTCCAGCCCGGGCTTCCCGGTGGAAGCCATGATATATTATCGACAAATCAGCAGCACCACGAATCAGCGCCAAACGATCTCCATTGAACCGAAAGCAAGGAAAACCGGAGGACGGCGGGGGTCTGGAGGAAACCACATTCCTCTCTCCCACGACGCGGGCGGATCGGGAGGCGTTGCGATCCAAGGAGTGGGAGGCGCGGCGGTCGTGCCCGGTCAGAGGGACGTATCCAACAGGCAATTCATCCAAAAGGGCCCACGGCCGTCTCGAGGACTCGAGACGTCAGGCGACGGACGGGATCAGAGCAGCAGCGGTGGCTCTGAGGGGCGCACAGTTGGAGGACGAAGGAAGAAGAGCATAACAGCGGGTGGGGGACGGAGCGCGGGCGAGGGTGGAGCTGACAAAGTGATATGACACGGCGGACGCTGGATGCAGTGGCCGGGGCAAGGGATGGCCGGCGTGCCTACGAGCGCCCAGCGACGGGCTGCATCGAGCAGTGGAGGTCTCCTCTACGCTAGGCCGGTGCTAAAGACGGCGCTTTCTGGAGTTGTGAGCGAATATCACCACGAGGAGGGCATATGTGCGTCGACGCTGCATCGAGGCGTCGTTACACCGCCTTCACGGCTCTACAGTACAGCATACAGTATGCTAGATGTAGTATACCAGTCTGCCACAGCAGCCCTGTGGCAACGGCTCGTCTAAAGAACTACCATAAACTGATTAATCTGGTCGTTGCCACCAGCGCAGAGACTGTAGCCTGGTGGACCAGCGTCGTGGAGGAGGACGAGACAGGCCAGCTGGAGATGCTCGGCAGCGCACGGGCCAGAGCGGAATGAGCTCAGCCAAGTAATCCACCGCGAGCTCAAGATACGGCCAGCTATCAACCTCTCCCCCACGACCTGCGTGGCAACGGCGTCTGTTCTCAGAGAGCTCCGTCCTCGCTCTACGGCTCCTGCCTGAGGTCCGTCGAGAGTCGAGTACGGCCTGTCTCTTCCGGCAAGCAGGATCTCGGCCTTCCATTCCGGTGACTCTTCCGCACTTCGCCTATGGAGGACAGCAGATAGGTGTCTCTGGCGTACCATGTCCTCTGCAGACGAAGTCGATATTGGGCGGCTCTCTGAGAGCGAGCGGGAGGCCCTGCAGACCTACACGACCGTCACGGGCCAGGAGCCTGCCGCTGCTATTCCCTTGTTGCGCCGTTCACAATGGAATGTCCAGGTGTGTTGCCAGCTTTACTCCTGTTGAGAAGCAACGGTATCTGCTAATGAGTGATTGGTCCTGTAGATCGCCATTTCCAAGTTCTATGACGGTGAAGGCCCCGACCCTGTCGAGGAGGCTCGTGCCGCGCTCAATTCGCCGCCACGGCCGACTCGCCGGACACAGAACCTGATGTACGATGATGACCTTCCTCCACGGTCATCTGCGACGTCCGCTCGGGCTGCTGGGCTGGAGCCCGCTCCGCGCATTGTCACCCAGCCAGAGGGCCAACCGTCCTCCCGGCCGCCGTTTCTGCTCGCCCTTCTCTTCACCCCGTTCAATCTCCTGTATCGACTGCTCTACAGCTCATTCCGCCTTTTCGGGACATTGTTCCCATTCCTTCCACGATTCTTCAATGTGACTGCGAATCCCGCGCTACAGGGGGTGCAGCGAAATACGAGTGGACGCAGGCCGCTGGGACCGAAGGATACGGCAGCGCGGTTTATCCGGGAGTTTGAGGAGGAGTTCGGCAGTCATTCGCTGCCCTTCCTCGAGAATGGATACAATATGGCACTGGAAAAAGCCCATCGAGACTTGAAATTCTTGCTCGTGGTGCTCTTGTCGCCGGAGCACGACGATACCAGCTCGTGGGTTAGGGAAACGTTGCTGTCTCGAGAGGTGACGGAGTTCATCAACGACTCCAGAAATGAGCTCCTCCTGTGGGGAGGAAATGTCCAGGACTCGGAAGCGTATCAGGTGGCCAATTCGCTCCGCTGCACCAAATTCCCATTTGCATCGGTGATTGTGCACACTCCCAACGTCAGCTCCACCGCCATGTCCACCATTGCCCGAATCGCAGGCAACACGTCTCCATCGGAGTTTGTGTCGAAGCTACGGACAGCCATCAACCAGAACAAGGAGCCTCTCGATCGAGTCCGTGCACGACGGGCGGAACAGCAGGCCTCTCGGACGCTCCGGGAGGAGCAGGACTCGGCCTACCAACGGTCTTTGGCCCAGGACCGGGAACGGGCACGGCAACGACGGGAGGCCGAAGAGGCCCGTCAGCGGGCGGAGCAGGAGGAGGCCGCCCGCAAAGCCGCGGAGGAGAAATACGCGCGAGATCTGCAGCAGTGGAAAGAGTGGCGGGCACAATCGCTACCGCCCGAGCCGGGGCCAGATGTGAAGGATGCGATCCGAATCTGCATTCGAATGCCCTCGGGCGAGCGAGTCATCCGCCGGTTCGCCGCGGACGCCGACCTGGAGGAGGTCTACGCGTTTGTGGAGTGCTACGATGTGCTGCAAGCGGGTCAGCCGTCAGGCTCGACCGTGTCCGAGCCGGAAGGATTTGACCATAAATATGGCTTCCGGCTGGTATCGCCGATGCCGAGGACGGTCTACGAGGTGGAATCGGGGGGCTCTGTCCGGGAGCGCATCGGACGGGGCGGTAACCTCTTGGTGGAGACGATTGAAGACGACGAAGAAGACGAAGAGGAGGGCGATACACAGTCGTAGCGAAACAAAAGCAGTTTAACAAGAGATGATTATTTTATTAAATGTACTTTTTCGCTTGTATTGTACTGTACTGTACATTGATTGATTGTTTGTTTTCTACAAGGTGATGGAACCGACACAAAGGTATACGAATAGCCAGGCATACGCATACATTCGTAGATATCTTTCTGCATGCCAGCCAGCCAGCAGCCAGTTCTTATTCATCAATTCAAGAAAGAAAGAAATTGACCTACCCATATAGGTAAGCAAGGAAAAAGGCACAGTGCTAGGCCAGATGAGGCCAAACTGAATAGTCGGACTTGAACTGTAAAAAAAGTTCTCTTCAGCGAAGACCTTCCCGCGAACGTAGCGCTACTTATTTCATGTCACCAGCCTTTTATGCAGTTATGCAGGTTCTGAGTTTCAGAATTTCTGGGAAAAAAAAACTCCCAGAGAAACACAACATCGGATTATATATTTCTGTAAGAACAAGTCACAAGTCAAGTGAGTACCTATAATAGTATTCTAGACTGCATCTCCTAACTGATAGGAGTTGACACATCCACATCCATCCTATCTATCCAACTTGGCATACGCGGAATCAACTAATGACCCAGTCGGTGAAGATTGCCATTGCCATATAAATGGTCAGGGGCCACATAGGGCTAGGCACCGGTGTTGGTATAGAACCTGCAAAAGCTGAATGTCCAGCACAGTGTAGAGAGAGGCGCCACGACATACCATCTGCTCTTTATAGAATAGAGCTGTTGGATTTCTGCACTATCAAGGCTGATAATAAGTGATTTTTTTTGCTGCCAGGTACAATACATAAGTTTGTTAGATTTCTGAAATGGTCGTGCCTTTTGACAGCGTGCAGCGGCTGTCGTTTTTTTGGATCGTCTTCAGGTTCTGGATAGGGGTCGGATCGGATCGTTGAAGAGAAGCTGGGCTGTTTTCAATCAGTTTGTGCCGGCGTCATCTGCACGTGCAGCGGTGGATCGGTGACAGGAGGATCGGCAGCAGCAGGTGATGACTGGATGTCAATAGCAATTGCATAAAACGACGCTGTTGCATCGTCGTTCCTCGGGATTAAATCTATGGGAGTCGTCAGTTTGTTAATTATTAACAAAAAGCCAAGTCTAGTAGTAACCCACTGTAAAAACAAGGATGGCCGTTCGCTGCTCAGAATTGAGCTACTCGTCTTCGTCGAACTGAAGAATTCTTCGGGGAAGTGGACTTTTTTTTTATCGAAATCAGGATTAGGCTTCTGTGGAGTTTTGCTTAACTCCCGTAGAAAATTCCTGATATCTTCAGAAGGGTCCTATCGTGGACATGGCTCAGGAGTGATTCCGATTCCTTCAGACTTGAATGCCAGGAGTTGATGCCAGACTATCCAGATCCGCTGTCTTGGAAGGATACTCTCCCTTTCCCATTCTTTTTGGGCGTTTGAAGTGCTCAGAAATCCACAGGCTTTGTATAACTTTCCAAGAACAGATATCGGGGTGGCTGGCTTGATATATGGCATATGGTTGAGGTTGAAGCAGGCTCGAACATTATAAACAAGAGATATAAGATCATTGGCCAAGCTCGTTTTCAATATATATACAATCATTATGAGACGAAGTTGGAGAACAGGGAAAGAAGAAGAATTGAGAAAGATGGCTAATTTATGTTGCAGACTGGGAAGCGTATGGTGAATCTGGTACCAGAGAGCGAAGGTCGCTTAACAGCTTGCAGTGAAGGAAAGGAATAAAGTGACATTAGGTAGTCACGAAATACTCGAATTCTTGAGCCTATAATTCACCTTAGAGCAGTCCAAGTCGAAAGCCACACAAGTTATAGGGTTCGATGACTGCCTGGCGACAATCTCTAGAGTTAGTACGAGGGCACTGTCACTGTGAGTCGTGCATTATCTCTGCTGGGAGATTCGATAATCACTCAGCATCATAGGCTATCTAAATAGTGATCAACCGGAGTTAAGTTGACAATATGTTTCGAATACGCGGTACTTTCTAACGGGTATAGTCTAACTACATAATGCCTCAACCATTGATGAACACAGGTGGTTCACAGTCGAAGCCCGATAAAAGGAGATCAGCGATTGGAAGTATTGAATAATAATCAAGGAATTCCTGTCATTGCAGTGATTTACCCGTCTGCAACCCCTCCAAGGACGAAATCGTCCGCGTGCACAAGGTTCTAGGCCTGCAAGCACAAAATAATGCTGGGCATAATTAGGTAATGCGCAACGGGCCCCGCGGGATCCGAGTTGAATGGCAGGGTCTGCATCCAGGTGCCCTAAAAGCCAGCCTGCAAAGGGAATCAGGGACGATGCAATAATTGTCGTCTGGGGATTCACTCCAGATCCGTGCGAAATGCTGATACGAATGCAATGATATCCGGTATAGTCCGCAAGAATAACGTGTCCAGTGCGAAGTACGGAGTACTCCGTAGTCAGATGCATTCGGCTCGGGTTCAGCAACGAAACCCGGCCGGAACAGCAGCGACAAGTAGATCCGAGACGTAATGAAATCCCGGGTTCGGAGCTGAAGATTCTCGGCCAATCACGTCCGCTGCCACTGTCCCGCAGATCTCGCCATCCGTGAGCCGCATCCTGTCCAGCCAATCAGACAGTGAGCTAGACAATAGCTCCAGATCCGTTTCCGGAACGGGCTTCTTATCAGATGCCTTTATTACGATACCAGCACCCCCATACAGAGTACGGAGCATTGTATATAGAGGCCCTCAAGAATGCCAGGCAGTCAGGAGCACGGAGCATAATTTGGCCGTCTCGGACCAGATTGTCCCACGAGCCGATTCGTCGGTCCCGGCTCTCCACGAGGGCGCGTCGATCTGCTGCAGAACTAAATAAAGGAATCTACTATTGACCATCTGTATGAACTCTTCCCAATCTTCTCTCAACCAAGTCATTCTTTTGGTATCGATTGAGGCTTTACTGAATTGTACAGAGGTGTTTCTTCCCAACCATGTCTCTCCTGGGGACAATAAACCCCAATCTGAATCCAGAGAGAGAGGTTAGAGGGGATGGAAGTCAGTGGCAGGAGACAAACAACGAGCATCGAACCCCACATCACGGGGAAGAAGCGAGCGTGGACACGGGCGAGACCGTCTTTGGACGAGGGCACGACGGCATTGGCGATGCCAGCGTCGTCGAGGCAGAGGTCAGTCGGCTGGCCCGTCAGCTGACTCGCCAGTCGACGCATTTCTCGACCAAAGGCGACCTCCCCAACCCGTTCCTACATCCCGACCAGGATCCCACGCTCAACCCCAACAGCCCCGATTTCAGCCCCCGTCGCTGGATGAAGGCGCTGCTCGCCATCCAGTCGCGCGACCCGGAGAGATATCCGCGACGGACAGCCGGGGTCGCCTTCAGGAATCTCAGTGTCCACGGCTTCGGCAGCCCAACGGACTATCAGAAGGATGTGGGCAACGTGCCTTTGCAGATTGGCTCCCTGTTCCGTTATTTTACGGGAACAGGGAAG